TTGCATTATTCCAAAAACAGTGCTTAGGATACAACTTGAAATTTTCAGTATTTTGCACTACTCTCCATCTAAAGTAATTACGGACAACAACTGAAAAATAGATCATAGCCATGGATAATGAAAGCATATTTAGTCAGGAGCAGACACTGTTACGGTCAAAATGCACAAATGTAAAATTTTAACAGTAATATATGCGTATTCAAAACACAAAATTACGAGACAAGTGGTATACTGTCGACAGAAACGTTCACATTTGGGGAATTATTCATCATGTCGTAAGTTTCACATTTAACACCATCACTGACACACAGAAAGCGTTCGGGCCAAATAGGGTATCGTTGAAATTGTATACTTGGTTGTGCGAGCAAATAACATTTCATTAATAAATTCATGTCTTACGAGATAAGATTCGTGGGAAGATTTGTGGACAGGGAGGGTGTTGAGAGCCAGACAATATGGATTTAGACCATTTCACAAATTGTGGTCGTGTCACACAGACAGTCGGTTGGTTCCAAGGGAATATGATTCTCACAGTATGAATCATATATTTGTTAGTGTTAACATCTGAATACTAGTCCAACTGCATTGGCAAGAGAATACTATATATGTTTGAACATTTTTTTCATATCGTTTAATGCAAACGCGCAGACATTCGTCAAAGAATAAAGACTGTATAGGTATAAACAGTTGTTTGATAACTTGGAATTATACCTTGACTTTGGCGTCTTGCCTTTCGCTATTCCAACATGAGTTCCGGTGTTTGTCAACTATGACTGTAACGAGTACAAATGCAGACAACTTACTCTGCTGTCAATCTTCAATACATTTCACAATATGACATAATCCTTCTTTGAGTAACCTTGACAAGACTCAAGGGAAACAATCAAAGAAATATGAGAGTGAAGGTTTCGTAACTTCAAACTTTCCTTCATTCTTAAGATAGGAGGTCAATCAGAACATTCTCTTAGAAATAGACAGATTGAAGCAAATGATCAGATGATAGAATTGTATCAGTGTGTTTTGTGCTTGACTTCTTCTCTATATTAGAGCCCTCTCAGCCACAAGCATCGTGTGAACTACTGAGCTAGGTGAGATAATGTTTATTCCTGAAGTATAAAGTTAAGTGTTCATGTCACGAAGCAAAATAACAGTTGGATGATTGAAACAACACGAAATGGAGAAGAATTTATTGGAATTCAGGTAGCTTGGTGAAATGATCAGGCTGGTACTAGTTATCTTAAGAGTGAAATCGATTTCACTGAAGACAAAATCGTCCGATTACTTATTTACACACCCAAGGAAATCATATTTAGCCGTTTACCTGTTTAAGAAGTAAAGGCCAATATCTATGATAAGAATAAAATAACTAAGTCAGAAACGGATTTGCGTCAGAAGTGGACATTGAACGTATACATATACATATTCTGTCTTTGTTTCCATATCTCTGTGTAGTTAGATTTAAAAGAACTAGATCATTTTTATATGTAGTAATGGAGATAAAAACAAAGATCAAAAATTTTTAAATGATATCACGTCATCGTTGTTTCAATCTCTAGTGTTAAAATTTAAACAAAACATTGAACCCGTGAAATGTAATTAGTGAGAGATGTGAAAACAACAAGACAGAACATGCAAACATACAACGTCTATTCCTCGAGCAATTTCGCCGGTGACATACACACACACACACATGAAATTGTGACTTGATTATTGTTAATCTCGTCATAATATGTTGATGCCTATTTCTCAAACACGTAAACGAGTACATTTGCATGTGCATAAAAATATGCATATGCAAAAGATGTTCAATTATATTGTAAGTCAAATGTTGTACTACATGATGGAAACTACAAATTGAGATAATGCCAATTTTCTCATCCTAATCGTGCTCTTCAACTTACTCGCCATGATCGCGTAGTTGGGAAAAATGCATACACAAAGACGATCATCATTCCCTGAAAGTAGGTCAAATAACTCATAAATTAGACCAAGAGTACATTTTGTAGTCTGTTCACTAAAAACCGTTCTATCTAATTAGTTTCTTTAAAAATAATCGTTTCTCTTTTCTTATTGTATCGCTCAGTATGACTATTCTACAAAGTGCACTGTCTTCCTATATTCATTCATTCATTCTTTAAAAATTATCCATACATTCTGCCTTTGGGACATTATTTGACTGCATTTTTAAAAATAAATTTGAAGAATTAGTCTACTTTTTGCAACCTGCTCCATCAATGTGTGCTTTTTCATATTATCCAGCTTCTCATTTAAATCTAACTCAGACAATGGCCTGGCGCGTTGTGCAATTCAACGGCCTCCTTAACATATGAACTGACAATCTCCATTTTCTACTACACATTTATACAGCGATTGGTTGTTGGTTCGTTCGCTCCAGCAGTTTCTTGCTGCTAATTCTTTCCAGTCATTTGATTTTCAATGTGGAGCCAGAAACAGCAGCTGTTGATCAAAGTCTGCAATTTGTTGTAAATCCTTTTCATGAAACACCAAGTTTATGACCCGTGAAGAATAACTGAATGAGTTGAAATTGGTGTTTAAAATCCGAATCCTGTTCTTTATGCTGAATGAGTAAGTGCAGAAGATTTCCAAACTACACTTAGATTGATTAAGGTGTATCTTCTATGCTGATTCTGGGTGATCTTGACACCTTCATCTGTCCTCGCAGCTGTGGTTGAAATAGTTATTCCTAGATAACTAAAGGAAGTTACTTCTATCAACTCTCACCCGTCAAAGGTGATTAGTGATGGTTGTTATTGTGGATGCCAGTCAGTGGTCTTCATCACCTCTCTCTTCTTTATGTTGATCTGACATCTTCGAGTTTGTGTGACATTAAACATAAATCATCTGTGAAATCCAGAAATCTCGAGTATTTCAATGAGGGTAAGTAAATACCTTTCTATGAGAAATGAGTTGGTAGACTCCATCGAGTGGTCATAAGCCAAATTCATTCAATAGTAGGACTGTGAACAGAAGTAAATCTGCAGTTATCAGAGTGTCGCCATGCAGAAAGCAGGACACATAGTGCGACTCCTTAATGAGAAAAAGGGACGAAGATCGAACAGTCACACGGCAACACCTTAATTTCTCAGTTAGGAACTGTAAACATATATATATGTATATACATGTATTCGTTTCATACATAAATAATGTATTAATAAAAAAACTTGTCGTATTATGTTTAAGCTCCACCTAGATGTGTATAGCACATTAGGTAAGGTACAGTTGTAATTATACACTTCGTGGATCACGTTCACCCTTGTAAGGCGAACAGAAATCATTGTTAGCTAGATACAGGGGAGCAAAGTCATTCTGAGGAGCCTGGCGACGTAGAAGATGACGACTGGGAGTATATTAGCGTTACACATATTAGCTAATACTCTATTCCGAGTAGCTGGAAACTTGTTAAGCAATATGCGCATCACAATCCGAATGTACACTACACCACCCAAGTTCTAACGAAGTTTAAGTTTGTAACTTAGTTCAAGTGTAAATGTAACTGCTTATATCGGCGAGTGCGAATTACCTTGAGTCATCTGGCTTTCAAATACAACCTTTGGCTTAAACCCTAGTTTTCAACCTATCTCGACGCTTAGTAAAGACCACATCGATATGTGAAGTGTCATTTAACTCCATTGGGTTCATGTCGGTCATCCACAAAGTCCGTAAAAAATAAGCAGATCGTATTCTAAAATATGTAAAATACGTATTTTGTGCAATAAAATGCATTTTTTATGATAGAAGACACTACAGTGGTACAACATAGTGGTCGACAAGGTCTAGATCTATTATAATGTGTTTGTTAGGAGAAAGTTGAAACACTAGATTATTTAATATCCAGACCTGTGTTTGAGTTAACTTCGAGTAGCTTTGGCCTCCAAATCAAAACGTTAAGTCAAGATAATGATTTCCAACGCCAATCCATTCGTATAACTCTTTAAAACTGAGGCGACTTTCAGCTTAGGTGAATAACACTAGTTTAGTTATTTTCTATTAAAGCTCAGAGAACACAACCACACCAAAAACACTTATCATTTCTGAACATAAGACAGGACTTATAGTAGCATGGTTCAGAATCACTGGGATTGACACAAATATATCCCGTTATTTCATTCATGGCTTTGGCAGGAGTTGGTCTAAGAATGTTATACTGAGTGGGTTTTAATTTCTTCTGTTTGTTGGTTATTTTATAGTTGTTGCATTGTGTAAATCACCTGGTAATGTCATTGCAAGTACTTCGAAAGTCGTCTCTAGTCTTCTACAACTGAGAACAAATCGTGTGATGTCAACGTCATTGAATGTGATTTGATACGCCACGGAGAATTGTGCTGTAGTGAAATGAAGTATCCAGCACTCCGATTGTTAGAGGTATATCGTTGACAACGAACTAAGCAAAGTTCCGATCACGGAGGGAGGTCATACACACCAGGGACAGATGCAGCGAACCAGTGTGGCATGCTTGTTGTGTATTGGGCATTTTTTCTTGTCCTCCATCTCAGCCTAGTCCCGGTTGGCTTAGGTTCCCGAGTTTGTAGTCCAGTTGAAGGTCGCTAGTGTGATGGTAAAAAGATTGTGTATCAGAGAAGAGAATGAGAATAAAAGTACTACCTATAAATTTCTTTGAATAAGCATTCATTTATAGACTAGAAGTTTTGTAATCAAAGTTGATTTCTGTGTCTGTTGATTTATCGATTCTTGATTGTCAAATTCAAAATTTACGGTGTTCTACTTAATGTTTCATTTATTCGCCAATTCTTGAAATCTAAATAATACAATATCAGCCATCGTGAAATGAACATTTCGTTTGTCCTGAATATGGATACAAGATAATAAAAAAACAAATTGTTTGTTTGAAGGTAAACATTTATTGAAACTTATAACAGAATGTACATAAGTTTTTCACAAGATAGACTTTCAAAACTATCAAAAGAAGACACAGCATTTCTTTTCCTTCGGTAATACTTTTCGAAGATTATTCTGCTTCATCACTGAAAAAGATTTTTTTAAAATTCGAGAATAATACAATTATAATGATCACTACAATCTTGTTCAATGAAAAAAATGAATCAAAATGAATGAATCGTGTGCAAAACTAAAATTATCACAAAGCTCTTCAGCTGTTGAACGAATTCCTATAAATTATGAAAGGATGTCACTTTAACTGTGGTGGACTGGATTATGCGTCAGACAGTGGGAAACGAGAAGAAAAGGATATCCTGGACCGACGCGAAGAACCTAGAAGACCTGGATTTCGCGGATGATTCATGTTGATGTCACTGTCACAAAATCGAAGACTTACAAGCAAAAGCCTACCGACAAACTGGTCGAAGAAGCAGCCGGCGAAGGCAGGACTCCATGTGAACATAGACAAGACGGAGGTTATGAAAATAACCAACCAACCACAAGAACGGCAGCAGCAACATCCAGCGTCAAACACCACCAACGGGAGGGATTTGAAAGAGGTTACTTCATTCAATTATCTAGGGAGCATTGTCTCAACTACAGGAGGAACGGAAGACTATGTCAAATAGAGCGAGAATCGGGAAGGCAAAAAACACATTCATCAACCAACTGAAACCAATCTGGAAATCTTCATCACTCAGCCACCATCAACAACAAAATTCGGTGGGATTTTCAATACAAACGTCAAGTTAGTCAGTTCTTCTATACGGAACGGATCAGAAACTTGGAGGGCGAGTTACAAAGAATATTTCCAACAGCCTGTTGCAGACCTTTATCAACAACTAACTGTCTTCGCTCTTTACTGAAGATCAGATGACTGGGCCGTTAAAAAGAATCACCAACAAGGAACTATGAGAACAAACGAATCAAGAACCAATCGCCAACCAACAAATATGCAGGAGAAAGTGGAGATGGATTGGACACTCGCTGAGGAGGCCGGTTGGTGACGTCGCGCGTCAAGCCCTCGAGTGGAACGTCCAAGGTTGACATGGAAGAGATCGTGTGAAGAGGAGTTGAAAGAGAATGGACTAACATGGATGCAGGTGAAAAGTACAGCAGAAGACAGAAGCAAGTGGAAACGTGCATTTGAATCCCTATGTTCCACTAGGAATCCAAGGGAGCAATAATAATAATATAATAATAACTGTCATAAATGAATTTTGTTTCGTAGTATTTCACAGATATTATATCTTCAGAATAACAAGATCGAATGTACGCTTACAGCTTCAAACAATTATCATAATTTAGGACGCGATTCTACTTCATTTTAAAGTAAGACAAATGATTCGACATTCAGATTCTGGTGTGTAAATGGTGAATACTCAAATCCGATTCTATATGTCAGGAAAATCACTCAGGTGCCTTTTTAATCAACACGCTGTGGTGACGCAAATGATATCCTAAAATACACTATTGTCATGCATCTTTTCAGAAGGATTATATAACAGTTTGTTACACTATTAAAACACATGAAACGTTATTTACCCAAAGAACTTGCTGGCTGGAATCAACAAATCAAATTATTTTCACATATTTATGCGTATTGAACATAACTAGTTTTATATTAGTTAGAAATATTGTGTTTAACAATAAATTATGCATGACAGACAGTGGCACTGATGCGATTCACGCCACAATAGTCAGCAATTAAAGCACATTACTGACGGCGAAATCATGATTGTGTTTTTCTCTGAAACTAATTTTACCTCAATATACTGTTTAGCTGTGTGTTATGTGCAAAATGGAATAGTCCGGTCAGACTGCGCACATTTGTGAGCTTGCACTTGTTACCATGGCAGTCTGATCAAATTATCTATTATTATTGTCCTTCCCTGCCTTCCTAGTGGAACATAGTGCCTGGACAAGAAATCTCTATTTCATTCAGTTGTTTTGCTTTCCTCTCTAGCTAGACCTCTCTCATCGCCCCCTCGAGATATCCTCCAGATCACGGTCGTGTGACCCACTCGTATTTCACTTGTGGGCCTGTAGCGCAACGTCATTCAATGGTTTTCTCAGTGTACCCAATTTTCTTCGTAATCTGTGTTCAGGAACAATCACTCGGTTAGTTTTTTGCCATACTTTATTGTTACTATTTTTTATGACGATCTGCCAATTAATATGGAGTTACTGAAGGCAACTGTTGATACAAGTCTGCAAACGCCTGTTGGAAACGACTTCACCTATGCACCAAGCTTCTGACCAATTCAGAAGATCTCATTTAACACCTGAATTGGAAAACCGAATACTGTTCACAATGATTAGAAGTACAGAACATTTCCAAACTGATTTCACATTTTGTGAAGGTATATTTTGCCTTTCCAATCGTTGTTTTGACATCTCCATCATTTCCTCGAGTGATTGAAAAGATGCTTCCTAGTTACTTTAAAGCAGTTACATCTATCAAATTTCTTCTATTCAGCTGGTTGTTGTCGTTGTTGTTTACCTGGTCGTCTTTGTCATCTGCGTCTTCTGTATGTTCACCTCGGGTCTTTTTTACATTTACTGTCTACTTATTCCTTTGAAATGGGTCATCAATACTGATATTACTAGAATGGTGCATGTAGGTTCAAATATCCTATCATCACCTATCAGAAAATTTGCTTCAACATACTTAGCTTCTTGTCACAGATTCCCAGTTACTTTCGTTTGTAGCATGAGACAGGACCACAGGTTAATAAAGTGACAATTGCAATTCAGTTATCCAGCTCTCTGGAAAACCACACAAGAACAGAGTCTCCTTAAATTAGTATCAACAATGTTTCACCTGTATGTCGAGATATTTGTTTTGAAGCAGAGGTAATTACATTAGAGTCATGGCGAAACCGGGAGGTTTTAAGATTGAGTGTAGACTTAACGCGTTTTTTTAATCTCTGGTACCAGCTAGAAATTCGGTTTAATACATGACATTTAAATGCACGTACAAGCTCATTCTGAACTGGTTATTTTACTGTACCGACTGAGATTTCTCTTTCAATTGTCGAAATAAATACAAGTTTGTTTCTCAGTATGAAATTGACAGGTGTATATTTGTCACAAAATCTTCACTGAAATGAGCATCTGTGACAAAATAAGGTCAATTTATTTAGGGAACTTGACACTCTCTGGATGTTTTGAATATTTCATGATAGGCAAAATGTCTTTTTTCGAGTGAACATTTTTGGTGGTTTCATTCAGAGAGAAACCTTTATTTTCAACGGATTAGTGATTTGGATGTCACTAATTCACAGTAAGTTACATGGAGATTGAAATTACGTAACGTCTAGGAAATTCCTGATAGCGCTGTATTTTGACCTGAAATATTCAGAGCCAACATCTGTGCTTCATACAAATAAAAAAGAGATTGAGTCAAGTGGCTCAGCTTTTGACGCCACAAATAAAGAATATCGTTCTGCTGTTAGCAAATTTAAATCGATGCTATAATTGTTGAAAATTCCATTCGCACGGATGTTTTGCTAAGCGAAATGGAAGTGTCAAGCCAGTTACAAAGAAAGGTGAAACTTGAACGTCAGTCGGTGACCGTCAAAATTTTTGACGACAGTACTCCTCGTATTACAAATTCGAATAACCTTACGAACCACCGCAACAAACGATAGACTGTGTAACAAGGTTAGTGAGTAATGCAATATTTGCCAATGTATAAATATCACTTTTATGCAAGGAAGTCGGCTGACTCTGAGATAAATATATTCCAGACTTCACATATGCAGAGGTCACGAAAACATTTCACGTACGAATGACGGAATGATGACTGGTGGAGTATTCGGGGAGTCTCTTCGGTCACAAATATTTCATATTTGAGTTCAAAAATGACTGCAGCCGGATTATCTTCAAACTAATATGAAACGATTAAAGAAATTCAGTCAATAAAAGAGGGATTAAAAATAGAAAATACTCAGGTTTTCTCCTTTTGTCTACTAAACTTACCATTCTCGTACTTTACTAGCTGTTAACAAAAGAGTTTCAATGAGAAACGTTTAATCGCTAAATTGTTTCTACATTCATTTTATTAGTCTTGTAAGGTGAAGCGAAATATGAAAAGAAGTGTATTGGCCATGATCAGAGTAATACATAGGTGTATGAATAACGTCTCACAATTCCGTCTCCTGATTTATTTGAGGGAATTGTTCATTTTGAAAAATTCGCCTAAAATTACGCGTGACCATATAAAAAACTCAAATATTCTTTTTTGATTTTTTATAGGTTTGATGAAAATGAACACTGGCCTCACCAATGTGTATTTATCAATTTACCTGCTCGTGTGAAGCCAGGTATGTCGGCCGTACCCAGCGTTCACTTTCCAAGTGCATCACCGAACACTTACCAACATGGTTTTACAAAGAAGAAAAATGATGTCCCCGTAGCTCCATCTTAGAATATATGATAGAATCCGGACACCAAACTTCAAAGTCATCCACATAGTAAGAAGTAGTCTTCCTGAAGGTGTGCAAATCAGACTTCTTCAAACTGCAGAAGCCATGGCGGTTCACTTCCTAAGCCCTGAACTGTGCATACAGGAGAAGTTCGTTCAATCACTAACTACACTTGCAATGGACTTAATCTATCTCATTACCCGACAAGTTATATCTACCTAATCCTTTTTTTCTGTCTCTTCATTAGTATTATCTTGTCTTCTCAATTGTAATATTTTGCATTTTCAACTGTTTTGTTCTCTACCCCCAACCGATTTAATTTCTGCACCACAATACCACTGTTACTTACTTGACCAACGCTCAATTTCTACTCATTTATGTTACGTCATCCAACGTGATTGCTCAATTTCAGTTCTAATTTAAATGGCATTATTATCTACTCCACTTCTACTTAGTCTCTACCTGTAATTACCTCTGTTGCTACCCTGACCCAAGTTGAAACATTTCAGTCAATTATATCACGTCATCTAACTCACTAACTCAATCTTATTTTAGTTGCTGTTTAAATAACCTTGTTTCTGTATGAGATCATTCTTTTATTACCTGATCAATTATATAAACTTGACAAACCTCATGTAAACATACAAATAATTATATATACATATACATATATAAATGCGATTGTACAGCTATGTAAATGAATTCGCCGAAGAGAGTCTCTTCGCTGAACGTCTCCTATTTTCCACATGACTTAATGGGAATTTTCAAGCTACTAAATACAAACAGTTGAAAAGGAAACAAAAGGTCGGTTTAATCAATGGCACGTCATATAACGTCATTTCTTAAACTCCCATCTATGGTGGCACTCGTCGGTTAATGTCGATTGTCAGATAGTGAAAAATAGTTTACTACCTTTATGTATGTTATATGTATACAAATATTATTTTGTTTACACTGAAAGTGTTTATAATCAATACCATTGTATAGATACATTTTTGTCGTTTCTTTACTTAACTTTGTCTTATACGCTTTATCTGAAATAACCAGGCTCTATCAAGAGATATTCAGGTGTTGAGTGAATGCATGAGTAGCAGTTTGTGCATCTGTCTAGAAATATGAAACATTTCGTGGATTAATCTCATTAACGCTTATTTCAAACGAAAGTGTGAGGTAATCCCAGTACATCGCAATATGCAGTATAAAAAAGCAAGGCTATCCCGATTTGAAAAGAAACTAAAGAAGCGTAAGCACTTCATTTTAGGCGAATCTTTAAATGCCTAGAAAGCAGTAACTAGAATAATTCGAGTTCGAATTATTACAAATTACTGCACTTGAAAAGAAAGAAAGAGAGTGTTCAAGTTGTCTCACAATTTTTTTACATATGCGCATTCTATTTTTCATATTCGTTTTATTATTACGTAGACAGAGGAAAGAAGCTTTGCTCTGTCTTTAAAGTAATTTTTCGTATGAAAATGTTTTACCCGTCGGGAAGAGAACACGAAGGGTAAATTGAACTGAAGATTGAAACTGACAGTAGTGTTAGCATTAAACATGTGATTCAGTTTGGAAGAGTATGTTTCAAAACTGTATATGAATACTGGGTATTTCTTCTCATCCCTTCACTTACTTGATAGTAAAAGTAGGATACACCACAGATTAGCTTAATCAAATAAAATATCTGTGAATTGCGGTGGTGCTTATTGCTTATTACGACTATGATAACAAAAAAATACCTGTAATGTATATTCACGGAATTATGCAATAAAGGCTGACCGCAAGCAAACATTCATTTGTTGAAAGCAGTTTTACGCATCTTTATCCGATAAACTTTATCATTGATCAAGCATTTTTAGTTTCCGAGGAAAATACAAATTTTTATCAAAATCAAAGTAAACTTACCATCGACTGAGTTTCAGTGCACATATATACATGTATATAGCTCTATACATCGTTTTAAAGGGTTAGTTAATAACAAAGAGAAGCAAAAGGTAGAGGCGCAGATGTATCAAATATCTGCTGAAACTGACATCAGTGGAAGTCCAACACTAAATAAATGACTCCATCGAATTACCGCAAATTGAAGACCTGTCAAATTTATTTATTTCAGCGTTGTATTCTCCACACTTTCAGCCTAACTAAATTGTGCAACTCATTTAAGCCGCACGATTTTAAATCTGATAGACGTAGGATATTTCATAGGACGCTGTTGTCCGTTCACTACACATTCGTATTAATGTTCTCCTGTGTCCTTAAGGGAATATAAAACTTCACCAACGAATAGCCATGTTGTCCTGTTCCCTGCTATCTTATTCCTTATATGATCTCCTTAAAATCATATTCAGGCGCCTCACTCATTATTTCCAGCTTAGGTCCCACTCGATTGATATCCTGGCGCACGATGTCATTTTATAGTCCACTAAATATATCCGCGGTCTATCTCTCGATTTAGATAGAATAAAGTGAACATAGACCGAACATTCGTTGATGAGACCGTTACACAAGAAATCACATGCGGGGCCCTCGTGTGAAGCCTGCGTAGAGCTTCTGAGCGTGGTACCCTATTTGCTAAATTTATTCTCTTTTCATTCACCATAGGATTACTACGTATGCGTAAACGTAGCAAAAACACTTCAAATCTCGTGCTTAAAGTCGAGGTCAGACACAGACTTATGGAGGGAATACGATGAATATAACGGTGTAATTCAAACGCTTTCTTAAATGTAGCAAGGCAATGTTAAGCGTAGAGTACTCCTTGAGTCAACAATCAAAACTGAATGTGTATAGTTTTCAGCAATCTCTTTTTTTCCAGATGATACTGTTTCTCACGTGATCTGAAATGAATAAAACTATCGCATTCATCAGGAGATCAATTATAAATTCCTATCATTTATTTAAAAGAATGTGGAGTTGAAAACCGCACTTACAACTGCATTTGTCTTCTATTTTTTAAGCAGAACAAGTCAGAATTATACAAAAGGTTTGTAATAAAAACAAATAATCTGTGATTTAAAACTCTTTCCATATTACGCTACATTTGAAGCACTTTGTTATTTATATTCACATCTTTTTAAATGGTTTTTCCGTGAACATATGCATACTGAGTGCAGTTTTCAATGCACCTGTGTTCGTGACACTTCAGTGCTACTTACTAAGTAACAAATGATCACACTGAGAAATAATTCAAGCATTCAGATCGATTTCTTATTCAAGGATAAGAATATTCTGAAAAGTTTAGGAGTAGTAATTATTAGCATGAATGTAGTGAAAAAGGTGTTTACAACGATTTTCACCACTTCCCATTATATTAGTGGTGAAAGAGACACCAGTTATAATTTATTGCATATCCTCCCAATAGAGCGTCTGTTTTGAATGGGAATGTTATAAATGCACTGAACACAGTTTGCTTATTTCGATTTCTATATTACGGGAAATTCACGATGTATTAGTAATACTTGAGTCACCGAATTTTAAATCAACACTTCTTATGACGACTGTTTTTTTGAATTTGAAGTATTACATTCTAAATGTGTTACATTACTCTCAGGATACGCTGCTGTCGAAAGACGTTGATTGCCAATTTATCAATCTATTCGGCACATAATAGTAAAAGAAGCGTACAATCGGATTATAGCATATCAGTTATGTCTTGCATAAAACTGAGTGAGGCATAGCACGGAAACAGAAACACACTGTCTACGAATGCATTGAGATTGCTTTTAAAATAATCCTCAACATTTCCTAATATTTTACAAACTAGGCGACCACACCACTGCAGCATTATGACATTTCCTCTTAGGGGATCAGTTATCACTAAACTTTAAAATACGTTCACCTATGCATTGGAGTACCACGTCAATACATATAGGGGATGAAAGAAGGTTGTGCGTTCAACTGAATCTCAGTTATTCCACTGTCAATGGTCAGTTTGTTCATCTGTGTTGACTGGATACGACTTCGCACAATTCAAGCGTGAACAAACACAAGAAGAACTAAAGAGGTATGGAATCGTCTAAATTTACAGATACTGTCAATATTAAGTCTTAAGTATATATCGTGGGACTTATAAACACTTCCAGGATTCCGTAAACAAGCCTCATATTTGTCCTTGGTACAGTTGAATGAAGTCCTATTTTAAATTGGAATTCGACAACATGTTGCAAGGGTACAAAAGCATTTTTGAGCAACATGTTGAAGTTGCAGATCTTTGCAGATCTACGTCCAAAGCAAGCATATTATTGTATAGCACTATCTTTATGGAATTGCAAAAGCACTTCTGAAGCCAAACTACTATCTCAGAGAGAGAGAGAGAGTCACTCTATAAATTGTCACCTTAAATTCTTAGTCAGATATACGGCTTCAGCTGTGAATCTTCAATTTGCTCTTTTTAGAGAGGTCCACTCTGGCTGGCTTCAATCTGAAAAATACCTTTGAATTAAATCTAACCTTAAATCAGAAGGCTGAACATGTTTGTATCACATAGGCCTCACTAATTCTATTCAGTCGTTTAGTTAGTCTCTCTAAATGAATTCAAGCTTGTTTTCGATAGACTTTAACCAAAATTGACCCTCAGAAATGTTGCTTGGTCATCTTGCCTATTGCTGTCTTCTAAATATAGTTTGGTGCTACTGTAGATAATTGATCACATTTCGTGCAAATGTTCTTCAGTGGATTTCGGACTTACATATCTCATAGTTTCATGAATTTCGCCAACTTATTTGTTTATTTACACATGCTTTCTTTAACTGATATGAAGATTCAAATGTGTGAATGAGTGTAGGTATGTTTAGGCCTGAAAATTAGTCAGTGCTCTTTGCCAATTTGAATTGACAATTTTGATGTATTCAAAGACTAAATAATACCAGCTATTTCAGTTTTACGGCATCAGTTGTAATTCACATGAATAAAATAATTTTAGTTACCGTATACTTTTAATTCAGTATCATAGATGCAGATAAGTATGCGAAAATTAGTAAGTTAAAGAAAACAGAAAATGTTCACTCACTACAGTCTTTACGCCAGTGTAGACGGGTTTTATTCATTGAAGAAAAAATTTGAGGATGATTAACCTCTTGGTATGTTCTATTCTAGGTTCTTTGTTTTTGTGTGTATAATGCATATGAACAAGAATAGCCATCTTATTTCAAAGCACACACTACTTAAATAATTTTGTCCAGAGAAGCTAACTATCGAACCCATTTTAGGGAAAACGATATAACGATGTACATTTTCAATTGAATTCGTCTGTGCATAACCACTCCTTGTAATTCGTGTAAAATGCAGGTGAAAAGACTTCGTCTTTTGAATCTTGCAGGCGAAAAGCGCTTTCAACCCAGTAAATCGTTTGTAATTTGCCTGTGTCTGCCTGTTTTAATCACTATTCAAGTTTCTTTTGTTTTCTTACACTACATGTTAGGCAGAAATGTTACTACAAACTTAAAGCATGCCAATTCTCTTGCGGGAAGTCAGTAATATCCTAACTTCAAGAGAATATAATGAGTTCTTTTCTGTTATCGTCTTCTACACAGTTTTATTCAGCGAGCCATTAATATCCCTTCGATGGACACTTGTTGCATGTGCACCAAATTAGCGTCATTAAAAAACACTTGCAGCATGTGATTCGTGTTCACACTTAAAAAACGAGATTAGTTAACCTTAATTACCGTACAGTAAATGTCACTAGGATATTTTTAGCCTGCAATTTCCTGCATAAGTGTGACGTAAAGAATAGTCATCAAGACGCGCATTTTCTGACCTCAAATGAGTATATTACACGTGGAAAATGAAAGTGAACTTACAGACGTCTGGATGAAATAAAATCAGCATAGAAGTGTTAGTTTGTAGGGATTTGATTGGCTACAGGATTTCATCATGAGCTGACATTATTTAGAAAACCATTGGAAAACCTGGAAGTACTGGACAGTTGTTTCGTCCTAGTTAAGGACTCTTCATTCAGTACGCCCTCACCAGGGTTCAAACCCAGGACCCAGGACAAATACTAATCGAAGACATTAATTAGGGGTCACGCAGGATTACGAAGAAGCTAGAATTCATGGGACATTGAATCTGGTCCCAGTGGCTCAAGGTTCAACGAGCTCGTCTTGTAACCAGAATGTCCTGGGTTCGAACCCCGGTGGGGACGTACTGCTGAAGAGTCTCAAAGTAGGTTGAAACAGCTCTCTAGTACGTTTTGAAAGCTTCGCAGTTTACTGAAGTAGTAGGAAGCCACTATTAGATGTTCGTATGTAAGTGAATAATATAGCCATAAAATGATCAGCCTCCTCACTACTTCGGAACAGCTTAGGTAACCTGTTTACCCTACATTGTCTTTTTTCCAAATTAAATACGATTAGCTGTCTACAAAAATCAACCAATTTTGTCTTGTTCTAAGAAAATCGGCACTTTAACGGTATTTGTTAATAGTTTTACTTTGTTAAATATCACCTCATTCATTAAATCGATGGTATGTATTGCATAGTTTTGATTCAAATGGTGAAAATCGCAATGAATACATAGAATGGTGTATTATTACTTACGTGAGTCATCTGATTTCAATTAGACTATTTGTAATTCTTCTCATAACATACAAAATGAAATCAAAGCTAAACAAATAGTTTCAGGCTGAAAATCATCTGTGGAAGTCTAAATATTACTTAAGTATGTATTCCCATATGTGCAGAATTTCTCTGATATATGGAATCAAATCGAAGTGGAGTGAATTCACAACTTCGTGGTGGCCATTCTGCATACATGTATTCATCTTCCAGTTATCTTAATTAGCTAACCTCTTATTTTGTTCGCAACAACGTTGCCTTCAGTAATAAAACATGTCCTGTGTAAATTCAAAGAAGTCTTGTTAACAAATTTGACAAATGTCAGGAGGTGCGTCAACGTTTCACTAACAAAATTTTACAGGCTTTTATACAATTACTTAGTTTCTATTAATAACTTATTTCTACTGCTAGAAGAGATGAGTGCACAGTTACTAATGAATTATATCGAAGCCCACAATGGAACATATTATGTCCTAGGGACATTATATTCCAGTCATACAGATGGCCCCACGATTGCTGATACGTTTTCATCCCCTCCTCACATGATTCCCTCCATATCACCATGAAACTCGTCATTTTCCATTCAGGTTCAATCCGAGTGATGCTTTAGAGCGTGATGTGATTCGACTATATCCTCAGCGTGTGTGAAACTCGTTTCCATATGCTTCAGAATATATACTGAGCAACAGCTCCTCCCCTGTTGTTTCGTTCTCAGAGTTTCTGACCATTTGGTCTTCAATAAGAAGCGAAGGCAGCTCTTAAATAAATTAAATTTTACGGATTTGCTTAGGTGAGAAAGGTTTTGAAAATGATTTCATATTAATGAAAGTCTACTTAGTGTTTCTTATTCTGGTTTGAACATCTTCACCAATGCTGCATGTAGATGAAACTACGCTGCCCGACTAAGTGAAGAAAGCGACATCTTTCAAATTACTTTCCTTCATAGTAACTGGTGCTTGTTGTTGTTGGCTGGTTGTTTTCATCACCATCGCTCTAATTATTCTGCCTAAAAGTTATGTCTTTGCTGTTTCTTCCCAAGCAGACATAAGACATAAATCGCCTGCGAAGTCGGCATCTTCAAGAGTCATTTTTATTGAATCAGTGTATTCCTGTCTTCTTGATACCTATATTCCGATGCATAATCAGGTCCATCACAATCAAGAGCATCATCGTTTACAGAAAGCTGTATTTCCGTACTCCTGTGTTCTCAGGCCTAGTCACGTTTTCCACTGTGGATCACTTAAAATGTTAGATACCATATAGACGCTGAATAAGGCTGATGAAAGTTTGAGCATTCCATAGTATTTAAGTAGTTCTTAAACTACTTAGCAAGTTATGCTATTGATAGAACTGAGGCAGAGATTTGACCGACATTCTATGCTCTTTTACATGATGATCCGTAGCTCATGATTAGTCCTTCTAGAATCCAGGTTTGTTTCCATGGGGCGAAGTTCAGTACACAATCATTCTTTTCCACTATCCAGGATGACTAGACTTGGTATTTTGCTTGGCGTAGATGAGGTCTAATTCGTCCTTCTTTTGCATCTTGACAAGGCGGCGTTTTCTTCCAGTCAGTTTGCACTTTCATTTCTTTCCAATTTTTATCGGCTGTGGCATGAGAATAAGCTCTGCAGTCTTTGGATCCATTTTCGAATGCTTCAGAGAAATTCCGCCTTCTAACCTTTAGTAGACTGATGGCATTTTTGGAGGATTGGTGTGCACTGATAGGCTTGTGGTTGGTGGCGTTGTTTCTGGATGAACAGTTGATGATAGGTTCAAGAGTTTTTTGAAGTGATCGGCTCATTACTTTATTCGCTTCTTCTCTTCGGTATTCAGGTCCCTTTGACCATCATTTCTTGTTTTCATTTGTGTTGATCTCTTCTCAGATACTGACGTCGTTGCCTGATATGATGTTCAGAGGTATCTCCTCCCTGCAGTGTTCCTGTTCTGCTTCACTTGCCGGCCAGCGTGTTTTAGAATTGCCGTTTGTCCAACCTGTCGCTCTTCTTTACTTCTTTATTCCGTCTAGTTTACATTCAGTCATCTTCTCCTTCACAATTCTCCTTCCTTCTTCTAGCTTTTAGGTGTCTGTATTAAGCTATTCTTTATGCAGTCTCTTTTTTCTTCCAAGAACGGCTTTACACCTTTCATCAGACACTACCTTCACAGAGTACTGATGTTCTTCAAAAACAGGTTTCTCTCAGTGCTGCCACATAATAACTCACACTTAGCTCTAGTTGTTGCAGTGCAGGTATCATTTGTAGTTTTTTTTCCGTTCATTAACTGTTAGACAAATCAGAAAATGTTTAACCATTCGGTTCACTTACGTAATAACCCTATATTATGAATTAATACCACGTCAATCGATAATGTAAGATTATGAAATAACACTAGAAAGAGAACAAACGCACAAGTCTTCTTTCTGTATTTTCTTCTAAATCCTTCTCTGTACATTCCCTGGTCTAACTAACAATATAATGTGAATACTGATAGCTAAAAGATGCAGAGATTGCAAGAAGATAACGCAAACGTCTGTTGCTGCATCCAACACATCGCAGTGAATGTATTGTTCTACTGTTAAACGTTTTCATCAAAGCCTCATTAGTTTGTGGTGAGTTCAGGCCGTGAGAATATATGTACAAGGCTGATTCAACAACCAATCACAGCAGACTTAACGTGGCAAAATATGATTCGCAGATAGAGAACTCTATTTGTCGAGGAATCCCGAAACAACCAATCAGAAGACTGCGCTTGTCTACTTGCAAAAATTATAATAATGTATAGGAAATATATATATATATATATATACTTGTTGATTTTCGTAATAAAACGATCTGTTGTCTGGCCCTTTTCTTCTGTTGTTACAAGTTGATCGAAGATATTGTCTCCTTCCTGTGGACTTTTATTAGTTTTGGCTGAATGCATGGCAAAATAATCAGCATTTCGGTATTCAGTTTTTGACAAAGTTAATCTTTAGGCACGAATAAATACCAATCAGCGAATGACTTCGAACGCATCAATCACGTTGAAGAGGCATTTTTGTCTATGAAATACATATATTTAAGAAAAACATCGCACTTAAAGTGTGTAAAAGTTTTACAGAAGATATTTTTTGTCGCATTTGATGAACATAGCTCTTGGTTTCAGGTTGGAGTTTCAAAAGAGTGTAATTTCATTTTGACTAAAATTTATTTTCTGATAGATTGTGCTTGAAACGTCGTTAGTAAATATTACTGTGTAACACCCTGAGACTTTATCAAAATAAATTTTACTCATTATGGAATTATACTCTACCACAGTGCACAAGTTCTATTCTCTTATCAACAGAGCAATGTGACCACATTCTATGCATGTAAATATTTAGGTCTTCTAACCCTAACAATAACCCTAATCTTTTCTGAATCTAACCTTAACGTGAAACGATCCCATAAACTAACTGTAATCTAACTCGTGCCAAAACTAATGTCGCCTTTGTTAGGTGAACCTAACCCTAACTTATCTTTGGCTTGAATAGTAACTTAATTTTTCTCAAACCTGAGCTAAAACTTGCCAGATATCTCAATAAATAACAATAGTTCAATCAGCAAATTTAGTTCATGATGACAACGTTATTGGCCGGATTTCACTAACTTGCACAGTGAGCGTTTCACGGCTATTGGTGTGGTTGCGATCCATTTGTGGTCAGCGGTGCTTAAAGTTTAACTTGGCCTAATTTTCTCGGAAATCAGGCCACCTTTCATCAAGCTGATCTTATCCAAAGATGTTGAGTTCATATTTTAATACTCTGTAATTAATTCTGTAGTTTGTTTTTGCAAGACGAACTCTGCAAAACATCTGCTTCAGTTCACTATTTCCGAAACAGTGTGAAACTGAAGCTTTTTCATATCATTGTTTTACATTATGCAAAATATCACTTACAGGCTTTGTCTTCAGTAATTCAAGCAAAATTGTTTAAAAACATGGCTAAAATATGAGTATTATCTACTATTTGTTTTGCTGAATTATGCTAAATGATGTCCTCTTTATTCAGTGGATCTTTTCGTCTACTTCATATTACAAATACTTTCTTTGAAATAGAAAGAGCTTCATAAATATTCATGAATAATCCCCATCAAGATATTAAGGAAGACAAAGCATGTAGTTCAGCGAAAAGGCTGCCTTCCATGAATTCACTTTCATCTGCAGCTGTACAATCACATTTGTATACAACTTGTTTTCATTAAAGAGGGGATGTTATGAGTTGTCACGATTGAATTTGTTGATATTAGTCAGTGTATAAGAGGAATAAGATAAATGTGTTAATTGTGTAATAGGATTTCACACACGCACAATTGCGTCACTGTGAATATTGCTTTATATTCTTAAAAGTATCTTTTTTTCGAAATATTGGAAAGGCAGTGCTATGGATATACTAGTCGGAAACAATGAATAAACAGTCAGGATAAAATTTAACAATATGGCACAAATTGAGTTCTTTTGTGGTACATCTTCTAACAAGTAGTGAGTAAATTTGCTACAACAATTAATCTTCAAGCTTTAGCGTTAATATATGCAAGAGTATCACGCAATAATATATAAGACGATGTACTTGATATTGTTCTATTTTTCAAACAGTTCGAATAAGTTTATGTAAAGTTTGGATATTCTGTGGCCTCTTTTTCACAAATAAATAACGCCAATGTCTGATGCCATAACACTTCTTTGATGTGATTTTGTTCTCTGAGCTGGATGATTAGTTTGCGAATACTTCAGATTGAAGTATGCGCTGAAGATGTCACCCAGTAAGGTGATGAAAGCTTCGCAAACTAACCATCTAACTCAGAGAACAAAACCACATCAAAATCATCCACCTGAGCTACAAATCTTCTTTATCATAGCTATAACACTTCTTTGCATAAAAGTAATACAACTGCCTGTAAATGGAAATCTCATCACACCTGTATTGATACTTTACGTCTTTTCAACCTTGAGAATTTATTTTAACTCTCAAAAACCATGAGGAGTTTGCTTCTGCGTGACCAACTCACATTTATTCTCTATTTATTTAAATAAAAACATTAAAATTTCGGGCAAAGTTAAACTTTCGACACCACTAACAACCAATCAGCAAACGACCTTGAACGAGCCAATTACATTAAAGAGGCATATATGATGAATGGAAATGTATATTTATAGAAAAAAAAGCACAAAATAGAGAATGAAAAAGTTACATGGGATATCTTTCTCGAACATGTGAAAGAAACATCTCCCAGTTTAGCATGGGACTGTCAATGCTTTTCCATCTGCTATCCTTTCGACGAATCCCTTTCGGAGGGAGGTGTCATACAAACCTATTACCCAAATATTGTTCGCTCGCTGGCGACCACGGTTGTATTTCTTTTTTACCAGCACTTCCTCAACCAATGACTAGCATGCGTTCAAGGTCATTGAACGTTGAAGCTTTTGGGACCCTATTCTTAAACTTCGCCATTAAAATTATCAGCTTACCCTCTCCAGATGAACAAACCCATCAGTTGATTTGGTATAGCTTTTTAAAGCAATGATACAACCACACAAACAAATTCGCTCTTTCCGGAGCACCTGAAATCCAGGAAATACTGGAAAAAACTAACCTCCTCGAATTGCAACTGTAGCCTTGTAAGGTCACGCATTAGAAATGAATCAAGCGCTATACAACATTGAACTGCGTTCGCGAACCTCATTGGATAATTCGACATCGTTCGTGAATCTCATTGGATAATTCCCTGATTGGTAGTTAGTGGTGTCGAAAGTTTAACTTCGCCGAATTTCGATATTTAATAGTGTGAAAATAAAGTTTCTGAGTTCCTTATCAAAATGTTTCTCGAAAAACCTTAGTTCCATACCTTTCAACATTTCAATGAAAGCCTCAAACGTTATGTTGATTTTGAAAAAAAATATGCGTGTAGGCTCTGTCTTAATACGCTTGCTGATACAACATCAGACAGTTTGTTATTTCATACTGAGAGAACAATTATTAACTGGAATATTATTTTGAATTTTGTTAAACACGTTCGACGATGTGACTCATCTAGTTTTCAATGAAACTAAACAAGTTCCATTTCGGTATGTCTGAGATCCCGATTTCACTGAGAAATACTAAATCAGTCTGTCCAATGATGAAATTATTATCCTGCAGATGAACACGATTTTTGCTAAGCTGAAAAGATATCTTGGAATGCACGGCTTAAGAATTTAATGCTAAGTACCACCTGAGGTCAAAAAAATATCATGAACCCGTAGTGATGTGGATACTTTACTCAAGATAATGCCGACATAATGGTATTTCCGACTATAATCATCCACTACCATTATATATCCGCAGGTTTGCAGGGATGATACAGTCAGAATCGGAAAAAATTAATTTGTGATATCAGTCAATCTTAACATAAAAATGTTATGCAAACTGCTAGGAAAATCAAGGGAAGTCGAGAATATGATAACTGTATTGAATTCCGGAATCAGAACTGACAAAACGGAATCAAGGTTATTGATGTGACGCATCTCAGTGAATGCGAAATAATAAGACCATAAGAAACAAAAACTATTAAGAACAGTTAGTTGGTGGATGGTGACTAACAGCGGAATCCAGGATGTACATGTCGTTCTATTCGGGACTCGTCATCTGTATGAGGCTGAATTCTCCAGTAAGTGATTATGTTTGCACTGAGGCTGGAATCAAGAGTCAATAATAGGACAAAATGCTCATCCTAGATTCCATTGCTAGTCACCATCCACCAGTCAACTTCTAATTACAATTCCCAGACATCGTCGAAGCATCTGCACAAGCAGCCGACATGTCAACTTGAGACCGAACACTTCGATCCAATCAATCGACGGTAAAATCTTAAATTGAATTAAACATTAAAAATACTTTCTATATTTTGGCTTTGTAAGGATTAGTTATGTAGAAGTTAGAGTTCACGAGCCATTGAATCGGGTCCCAGTGGCTGAATGGTATACGAGCTTGCCTTGTAACCGGAAGGTCCCGGGTTCGAATCCCAGTGGGTGCGTACTGCCGATGATTCCCAAACTAGGATGAAACAGCAGCTGTCCAGTACTCCCTGGTTTTCAATGGTTCTCTAACTGATATCAATCCGTGATCAACCCGTAAAATTAAAAATACTGTACGAATAAAAAAAACTAGAAAAAAACTGGACAGTATCTAAACTCACCTAAATTCTGACCTATGACAAAGATGTAAAAGATTGGAAACCTGCGAAATGCATCGATAAGAATGTTTAAAATAAAGCACTCAAGAGAAGCAACCAAGGAATATTTGTAATCCATGACTTTTAGGAAACACTCAACTGCACTTATTCAAATGTTTAATTAGACTTTTAGTTATTAGCCAGTCATAAATAATTTTCATCCCATACTTCTGCGTCTCATATTTCCATGATCCTTCTATGGAGATAAAGCTATACCTGGAATAACAGAGAGTGATTTGTGAGATTGAAAAGGTAAACTGAATTCTCATTATTTCAAGTCATCTCGACTTTTCTTAGAAGCAAGACAATCTTTATAGAATGTAACAAAACTGGAGGACAGTGGCTCATAAGCTTAACCAATCAACAAATCCTTTGTTTGCACTATGTAACCGTCATCCGATGAAATCATTTCTTACAAAGATCCATTTCTATATTTCGTCATATTCAAAAAACGAAAAGAAAATGAACGAATATCACACATATAATAGTCGTGATGACACAGCATCCACAATCCAATTCAATGGGAATAGGGATTAATGCTAAATGTTCTCAGCGAGCAATGAAGTTTTCATAATATATACGTAACTTAAAACTGCTTGAAACAGGTTGAATGTTAATAAAAAGAGTAAAACAAAATTAACTCCTTTGCTGTCCACTAACTGGTCGTCAGGATGTGAAAGAAGGAGGGTTGAATAACCGTTTGTGTAAACAGTAATCCGAATGCCACTGAAACCGTGTACTTCCAGAAAAATAAACTTACTCCTTAGTCGATTTGTAAAAACAACTGAATTCTAGCAGCTGAAGGACTTGGGATAGCTGGATAGCTTACGTGTCCTTTCTCAACGAGTAGGTTTTATCAAAAGGAGGGAATATCCATGACATGTTTGATGCAGGTAATTTTGCGCAAAATGTGAGTGACATGATCTGACGTAAGTATGATAAGAATCTCTGACAGGAAGTGAAATATAAGTGACCATGATAGTATGGTATGATCCCTATATTAGCAACTACAATCACACTGAGAGTTTAACAATGTTTTTGTCGTGCCATGGCAATTAATCTCCTTTAGGATCATGACAATAAGCTTCAGCTTACCAAAAAGGGAAGTTGCTGTCAAACAATGCTTTACAATTAATAACATCGCATTTCATTAGATGCAGGATGACATTTTGAGGCATGTGCTAACACATACTGACATCACAGCCGATAGTGATATTGAAGTTCTAATTAGATATATAAGTGTAAGCCCAACTTGGGTCAGACGTCCGTCGTCGATAAGTGTTGGGTGAAATCAATGAGAAAACAGAACTTCTTGTAGATGGTCACACCTTAAATATGTTGATTATTGCAGCTGGCAGCTTCAGTCACAAGAATATCTACACGACGATGCGCCGGAAGTCTGACAGACTTCATCTCATTCTCAAGAAATTGGAAATGCAGCCTATTCGACACAAGACATGGGTATGGTATGTGTAAATTCTTATCACTATGTTATATTCAGGATGAACTGGAAATATTTTAAGAATCTGGTGTTAAACCTTACCTCAGTTTTATAACTTATAAATCAAAGGATAAATCCTCAGGGACTAGACACACAGTGCATTTGTCACCGATGGTTCTCTACAAACACATAGTTGCTGATGGAATAGAGAAAGACAACGAAGCAGAGGGCAAGACAGTGCAAAAGAGGAGCAATGAAAGAAGAAGCTGATTCCAGTCTATAAGATACTGAACAAGGCGTGGAGGAGATTGCTTGGAAAGATGAAATTGAATTTACGATGCATTTGCAACTGAAGTAGGGCGGCTGGAAAACAAGGTGGATCTCACAACACTGTATCACCTAACCAGGCAGGAAATGACAACAGGAGAACTTAGATGAAGTTAGAGAAAGAAGGTTATGGAAACCATTTTACAACAGGAGTAGATTAAAGAAATCCCTCTGGTAGCTCTGAATGGTCCGTTTTTTACGGAGGGCCCGAAAATGCCAGCGGTCAATTATAGAATACAACCGGACATGCACAATTCATCAAAAAAGAAAAGTGAAAGATCATAAGGATTCTAGAAGCATGAGAAGCGACAGAATGGGATCAAATCCCCTATGTTCACGAAAACGAATACAGAGACCTTAGTTAACATGCTTACAGCACTCATGCTAAGAATATAAAAATTATACTTTAATAAGTGGACGATTCACGACAATGCAGATCACATCTAGATCACCCCGTAATAATACAGGTTAACATTTTTACCCTACCTACTTTGATTTTATAGGCACACATGTCTAGATCAACCACGGAACAATTTGAATTCTGCCTCAGCCCAAGAGAGTACATTGCTGAAAACATTTCTTAATTCCGTTAAATAATACCTTTATAGTGTTATTTGCCAAGCAATTCAAAACTGAACTCAGCTAAGTGTTTGAGATGAAGACAAGAGTTAGACAGAGTTGCCTACTACCAACCTTAAACTTCAGGACTGTGATGAACTGAATCAGGTGATTCACCATGGAGGGTGTGAACATAGGCGCACAGTGAATAGACAAACTACCTTACAAGGTCAAGATTTCACTGATGATGGATATTCTGCACCTCACATAATCGGCGGTTTACAGGCGAAAATCAACAAGGTTGCAGATTATATTGAATATAGGAGTGACGAGGGTGAGTTGTCATAAACCAAACACTTTAGTGCTTAACCGTGGGGTAAATCTTCAGGATGTCGTCTCTGAGCTAACTAAACACCAATGAATCGAATACAAATAGCATAGATAAGTTCTTGAAAGCCAGGATCAGGAGTTGATATACGACTCTTAAGATGAATCAGACTGTAGGAATTTTTAGCACAAAATTTAAGCCTATGCCTTCATATGCGAGATGTATGGCACACAGATTCAGGATACAATCTGTTGTAGTCACATGTAGGTCCGTCCAGTGGAACAGGAATGAAAAGCAGTAGTTTGAGAGTCCGAGTGTAAATTATACGTCATTTGGAATTATTATCTAATCTATTGCGCAATACACGCGATTGAGTGTACTAATAAACCCTGAGTTGTGTGACAGAAGCTCAATGTTTAAAATGAATCAAGGTATTTAAATTAATAATAACAATCTCATATATAAAAACTCACCCCTATATATCCCTGTGATGAAAACACGTGTTTAAAAATGAGATGTAAAAAATATAAGAAGCTAATGACAAAAATGAATCAATGAAGATGAACCAGTGAAAATGAGTAAATTTCCACCAGCTTGGACAACACTTAAATACACTGATTTACAGAATGGATATCCTCCAATATTTATCAAGAAGGTCATCAAGTTAAAGCAAATGCCTGAAAGAACCCAGACGTGTCCAAAGAAACTGCGATTTATGAGCGTCGCATTAAAGGGTGACACTGCAGCTGAGATCATGTAGAATCGCTTACGGAGATCACTTAAGAAAGCATTCTTTTACATCTGAGCTACGGATCGATTTCTACAGCTGATGACTTATCAATGGATGTGTGAAGGATAAGCTGACGCTTTTGGGTGTGTGTTTCTAATTTTACCCGCTCGTGCGGAGCTAGTTGTATTGGCCGCACAAAGTGCAAACTTTCCAAACGCGTCTCTGAGCATTAACCGGCATGATTAGCAGAAGAACAGTGTAAGACAATTACCAGTTGAATTCCCAAGCACTTGATGAACTCAAGGCACGTTTCTCCACCTGAGTATTCTACAAAGTGTGACCAAATTGTAAAAAACCGTTAGATTTTTGCTTTTGTGTTTGGCAGAGGCACTGGTGATGTGTCAGTACAACCCCGAACTCTGTATACAGAAAAACGTTTCTCTAGTCTCTTATTCTACCTTGGTTTTAACCTCTTCACTAGTCGTTCCCTGTAAAGAAAATATAAATTTTTTTTCGAAATTTTCAATTTCACTTTAAGTTTACCTTTGCTTCAATGACTAATTCACCGAGCATTCACAAATAGGTATTAGAAGTACGCACAACATCCTATCTAACCTCGCCTAGATTACTAGCTCACTAGTTTTCTTACCGGTCCGAAGCTCGGATAAAGAGGAAGAGTTGGGGCGTGGTGCTAGCAACTCCACCCCTGTAAAATAACCAAATCGATACAGAAACTTCAACGAATAAATATATTAAAAATTCTAAAAACACAAACAATAGCCTTATTTTTCACTGGAATCGAGGAAGTGAAATGACGCAGGCTGGTGAAAGCCTTCGGGAAGCCAGTCAACTGATATGCCTCTTTTCGATGAAAGCGAAAGTAAGCATGGGTACCTGGAATGTTCGTACAATGTAAGAAACTGGAATGGCTGTCCAGGTACCCGCATAAATGAGAAAATATAGAATAGGAGTGTTGAGAATCTGTGAAAGCAGATGGAACGAATGTGAAAGGTGCCAACTACCAACTGGAGATACAATAATCTATTCCGGCCACACAGAGGACAATCACGGGAACATCGAGGCAGTGGCCATCATGATGTCATCAACAGGAGCCAGAGCTCTCATGCAGTGGGAACAAATCTCTTTCGGGATAATGACAGCCAGGTTCAACTCAAAAGGAAGGAATGTTACAATCATTCAGTGCTATGCGCCGACAAACGTCTCAGAACATGAAAAGAAGAAGGATTTATACAGACAACTACAAACAGTAATAGACAACGTCCCAAATGGTGACAACAAAATCCTCATAGGTGATATCAATGCGAAGCCGGAAGGAGAAAATACAGGAAAAGAATTCACCATGGGTCGGGAGGCCCTTGGTGAAATCAACGACAATGGTGAACGCTTCTCAAACTTCTGCTCCTTCAATGATTTGGTGATTGGTGGCAGCGTTTTCAGACACAAGGATATACACAAGACGACATGGATTTCACCAGATGGAAACACCAAGAACCAAATAGATTTCGTTTCAATCTGAAGAAAGTGGAGACGGAGCCTACTGGGCACAAGGACGAGGAGGGGGAGCAAACGTGGGTTCAGACCACTATCTAGTACAAGGGACTTTCAAGGTGAAGCTAAAAGCCACGAAAAGAGCTGGGGATAGGCCGAAATGCAAGTTCAACACTCAGAAACTGAAGGACACAATCACAAAGGATACTTTCACTGCAACTGTCAGAGAGAAGCAGGAAACACTACACGACATCACTGAAGAATCATGCGTGGAAGACCATTGGAAGTCTCTGAAGGCGATTCTCAATGGAACGTATTCAACGGTTTCATAAAGAAAGAAGAGACAAGACAAGGAATGGCTCTCAACGGACACTTGGAAACTAATATAAGAGAGAAGAATGGCGAAAGAGAAGACGATTCAATGCAAGGACGGACAGGAGAAGGAGACGCTGAGCTCAACTTACACAGTACTGGACAAAGAAGTGAAGAAGAGTGCTAGGAAGGCCAAAAGACGACAACCTGGCCACTGAAGCTGAGAAGGCAGCAACTGCAATTTGACAACAATTCTTAATCGAGAGATGAAGTCTTGAATGCAATCAAGCTTCTGAAAGCCGGAAAAGCAGCCAGACCAGATGGAATACCCCTGAAGCACTAAAAGCAGACCCAGAGACTACAGCAGATATGCTGACTCCATTATTGCAAAAGGTGTGGAAGGAGGGAAAGGTGCCTACTGACTGGAGGAAAGGTAACCTTGAGAAACTACCAAAGAAGGGCGCATTCATCAACCTGACACCAATCTGAAAATCTTCGTCACTCAGCCAGCATCAACAACAAAATTCAGTCGGATTTTCAATACAAACGTGAAGTCAAGCACCTCTTCTATACGGATCAGAAACTTGGCGGGTGGGTCACAAAGAAGATTTCCAACAGCCTGTTGCAGACATTTATCAACAGCTGTCTTCGCTCTTTACTGAAGATGAGATGGCAGGGCCCGAAAGAATCACCAACAAGGAATTATGGGAACAAACAAAGCGAGAACCACTCGGCCAACAAATATGCAAGAGAAAGTGGAGATGGATCAGACACTCGCTGAGGAGACCACTGGGTGACATCGCCCTCGAATGGAACCAGAAAGGGAAGTAGCGAGTGGGACGTCAGCGTGAGGGTGACATGGAGGAGATCGTGTGAGGAGGAGTTGAAAAAGTATGGACTAACATGGATGCAGGTGAAAAGTACAGCAGAAGACAGAAGCAAGTGGAGACGTGCAGTTGAAGCCCTATGTTCCACAAGAAACCCAAAGGAGCAATAATAATAACATCTTATCTCCATTACAGGAATTTATAACTTGACAACGGACCACTAAATCCTTTTGTCATGCAATTGGTAGATGAACTTAATTGTGCTATGAGTCTATGTGTTTGTAATGCACTTGGTATCGGAATAAATTCTCTCTGATAAACATCTACTCCCTCAATTCGTCGTTTTCAAACGGAAAGAAAATAATTGCATCTCTCACGTATATAGTAATTTTATTGACATAATTTCTACAGTCAGAGTCAATGGAACTGAAGGTGAATATGTGTATAATGATTTTTCAAGCGAAAATGCTTTTGAACATATCTACTATACATTTTCATGCATCAGATATGTCGTCATAAATTAGATGCACTAAGAATACTGCAATAATCATGTAACTTACTTTCAAACTCATCTGAGACAAAGAAATATTATATGGGTTATCAAATTTTTTCAATGAGAAGACTTTGTATCAGGATGGCAGTTAAACGTATGCAGTAATAATTTATGATTGTACGCTCTTGTGGGTTGTATTTCATTTTTCATCTTCATATATTCAATAATATTTTCGCTAAATGGTCATACGTGATTAGCTGTCATCAACATAAATTATACCAGCGGTTCAGATATCTCGTTTTTGCATAACATTCAGTTGCTTCTAAGGTAATCAGACTGAGGTTTGTATAACAGTTTCTGATCGATGAGAATGAGCGGGTGTTTGAAACCCCCTTGTCAAATTACACCTCATTAGGCATTCCGAACGTTGCAATTTGTCATGTAATTCTACAATGGATATTGTTGAATTAGACATCAAATTTCCCATGCTGAATTAGGTCAGCTTAATGATCACACTACCGTGGTTTCAAAAGTCAGGATTAATACTGATTTGCCCTTATTGCAAGTATGTAACGTTTGTGAATGTTCTGTTTGCTTGTATTTTCTTCTTGCTATCGTGGAGTTCCATCAAGTTAGCTGTAGTCTTATTGCAAATGATATAATTACTTCCCTTGAAAGGTTTCTTTGCTGTCAGGATATCATCATGAACTGAAAACCTGGGAGTACGGGATAGCTACTTCGTCCTAGTCAGGTCTCTTAATCACTGCGTGCTCACTGGGATCCAAACCCTGGACCTTCCAGTTACAGTGGGAGTTTGTAGACCATTAGGTCAATAGGACCGGATCCAATCATCCTTGCACTCTAACTTCTGACAATTCGCAATATGACTTGACAACTAGCGAATCTCATCAGCGGCGTGAATTAGTCCTCACATCCGACATGCTGTTACGCATTGGTCCCAACTTCGGATTTTATTGCGCATAAATATCATCAGACCTTTCGCGAGATGTCATCAAATGCAATCAGTTCACGTATATCACCTAAGGGATTTTAGACTTATCTCAAAGTAGTCACTTCAAAGGCACCTAATCACTTTATTTCTATTCATCCTGCAATCACTTACGGAATTTTCCTTTAAAATTATCAAAGTATAAATGATTCGTAGTTTATTTTTTGACATTTTTAATTATGGCGACTTGATAAATGGTTATTCCTGCAGGGTTCTGCTTTAATTTCAGTCGGCATTAATCTGTTGCAAAATACCTGTAAACATTTGAAGTGAAGTAGTGTGTGAAAATATTTTTCCACCCTGGGTATTAATAAAATTTAAGAAATATTTATTTCAGGAGTTAACTGGCTCTTAATTGCACACTCAGTGATCCAGATCACGATATTTGATACTAATGTTATCAGAAGTTATTTGGTGCATGGTAACTTGTAATGAAATTCTGGATGCGCATTTCGTTCTGTTTGGGATTCATCACGTGAATTATGGTGATTTCACTGCTTCTCGAACTCAGTGGCCTAAACAAGAAATAATATCTATTCATATCGGTAAAATATTATTATTCACCTTTCCGCCCTGAAGTATAAAGGAATTCATAAATCTCATTTCATCATCGTCACTAAAATGTCTGATTGGAACAAAATTAACGAATTTAAATGCTTTCTTGAACAGTGTCCTATGTCATCATAAGTGATAAGCCTGTACGAGTTCACAATGATGAAAATTTTACAAGTGGAGGTTGAAATGTGTTTTTCGTCTGTTTACGGTCATGAATGTTAGCAGTTTTGTACATATTGCCTACAAGAAATCTTTGTTAGCAATCAAAGTAATTCCAATGACGTGGATACTAGATAATCAAATCAAATCGCAATCTCAATTTTTTATCATTATTTGACTCGTGTATGGTGTATGGATAAACTTCTGTTACCCATACTTTGAACAGAAATTAATTATAAACCCTAAAACCAATTTGCTATATTTATGAGGAAAACACACCGCTAAGTAAATCGACCGTCCACTGCAGACTTTTTGTAAATGTGCACAACCACTTCAAAACTCCACGTATGCGATTCTCTCATAAATTCACCAACGACTTGATCTGTCATACCTTCAACCGCCTGCTGTCGCCTCAGTAGCTAAATTCATGATCACTTATTACTTTCAACCATGCCATAAATTATTATCTGTAGAAAAAAGATTTCAGATGCGATTTCTGTAATAGAATTTTATCATAATACGACAAAAATTTAAATTTTCCGGTCATCAACGAAACAACTTTTGTAACTGGTACACAAACATTTAAAGAGATATTAAATTCGTTTCTCACAATTTTCTGAATAGACATAAATGAGATAACAGTTAAATTGCATATCTTGCATTTATTCATTCATTATGCCTTTCACAAATAATAGCACAAAATCTTTCAGAAATGAGAATCATTCTTGGAAGTTAACGAACATATTCCCAAGATATGATTCACTGAAAAATCATCATTTTTCGCTGAAGACAAATGGTTTCACACAGTAATGATTTTTCATGAATCTGAATATAGGCAAGAACAACACTCAGTGTAGAATCGAATGGTGGTAGCATTATTCTGAATTTCGTTGGCGCCTTTCCACCGAATAGGGACTAATGAAACTGCTAAGCTTTTGTACACGACAATTTTAAAATAACTGCAAATCTTAAATGATATCAGTTGGAAGGAGGCTCAAGACTTCGTAGACAGCACTCAAAAAATACTCTTATGCAGTTTCCATCGACACACACACAATGCTAAGTGCGTCACGTGTAACAAACAAGAGGTAAGCAAGTGATCAGTAAATTGATTGAAAAAGTTAATTACTTCGGTTTAAATTTGAACTCTCTTGGTAGAAACGACATAAGAGTAATTTTCTGACCACTGCTTATCAAGTTTTATAACTACTTTGAGAAGGCTATCTTTATTAACCTACCGTTCAAGGTTGACCAGATTGTGCAGTTAAAAGCTCAAAGACTTCGGTCAGCCACCGAACGCACATTCTACGTGAAGTCACTTATTCTCACTTGCCGAACATTTTCGACACCTGTACGTACGCATAAAGGACGAAATTCCGTGGATCCTACTTTAAACTGTATCTACAAGTTCACCAGCAGACTCGGCGACTCTTATTTAGGTAGAACCAACAGAATGTTCCAATATCATCGAAAAGAACATGTTTCAGTGTAGCTTCTAATGCGAGTAATCTGAATGGAAATCCAGCATCATCCATTGCAAACACTTAATATCAGATCTCAAAATCGATATGAATGACTGTTTCACAATTATTTCACATAACTCTAATTCAAGGTTATTGAAGGTGATGGAAGCATTTTGGATTAATCACATACAGCCTAAACTGTGTGTACAAAAATCAACAGACTTCAATCTTCGCCTACCATGGACTACATGACCTATTTAAATATGATTGGTCATTAGTATGTACTTTTGTTTTTTATTTAACTGAGTAATTGTCATGAACTTTATTTTATTATTGTTAACCATGTTAGTTGTGAAGCGGTTGTAAAGAAACTACGAAATGATTTCATCTCGCGAAATTTGTCTTCTAAATGCCTTATTCAAAAGTATGTTTATTTGTTCAGGCTTGTACATCAAGTTTCCTAAGCTTAGCAGAAAATGTGTATCAATAGTGATAATTCGTCGAGATTTGTTAACAGTTAAGGCCAGAGAACTGTAATTATAGATGTTGTATAAACCTGAAAATGTGTTTTGAGGAAAAACTATTGACAGGGCGATGAGGTAGAATGGTTTGGAGTAGGCGGGCCAAAAACTTTCCTTCATACAATTCTCCGTTGTGCGCTGGCATGTGAAATGACCTCATCATCACAAACCGTACAGATTACATAACGTATTGCAGGAACTTATTTTCACTTGCTTAACCACGTTTAGTTTTCTTTCGAATTTTAATGAGCGGTGAAAGGCTGCTCCAAGAGTGAAATACACACTGACTGAATAAGGTATCTCAGTAAAATGTTGAATAATTTTCCTCAACATCGTTTTATGGATGACCTAAATCTCATGGTCAACAGGTGCGATTCTTAGATATGCGAAGCAGTGTTTGAATTCAAAGATTCACTTTTAGAGCAAATTCAAAACTTTCGACAAGTATTAGGTTGCTTTTGAAGGTGACACCTTATGATTAAGTCATATTGAATTCAGATTACTGCATTACTCTTATGGAGACCTTTCGCAGGCCCTTTTTCCTTCTTAATCAGTATATACCTTGCACTTTGTGTAATATGAACCCACTAAATTATCGGGAATTTATTACTGAATTATAGTTATCAGAAATAGACAACAAGATTACTTAAACGTTAGGTTTATTGAATGTCAGAAGTGACATGCCAGCAGTTCAGTGTAAGATGCTAAAAAGAGTTTATCAGTGCAAATTTCGGAATAAACCTCTCCCTTATTTCTTCAGCATTCGTTAGTATGATTAGCATATTTAATACACAATTAGTGTCTAGTGAGTTATATGCATCTAAGAACTGCCCTTAACATATACAGTTGGATGAAGAATAAAAGAATTCAATACATATTTATACAAGTTGGCTCTTACCGTGATCATCCAATTCTGAAAACAATAAAACGTTTCAGCGACCGAACGAATAAATCACAAAGAAAACTTGCTGCAAATTATTTCATAAAAACTACTTTTGTTCAACCCCTGGCACTAGGGACTAAAATGTAGCACATTTTTTACATTTTTTGATTCAGTAAACATTTCCTGCAAAACTTGACGTCAGTAAAATTTAACGCAATACGCTTTTTATTGGCGATTTCACCTGCTGATTGGAATTAACTGTTCATCTATGATCAGCTTCAGTAGAAATGAATTTCATTTGATTTCCTTTATTTCATTCCTATTTACCAGCTTATCTACAACTTTACTATGAAGAATTGATCATAAAATAGTATTTCATAATATACGGATTATGAAATCAAAACTTCTGAAGTTGAAGGTTTTGAAAATGGGTAGATATGCACATCAGGCAACTCACCAAAAATATTTATTCGATATATTTTTCGACAGCTGAACTTACCTTCTGCTCATGATTATTGTGAATACAATAAAAGATGTATGCAATGAATGCACTACATGAAACTCAAATATCCTGTGTATTTAAAACAAGCATCAATATAATTCATGACGACAAAAACAATTAGGTAAATAGGAAGTAACTTGAAAATTCCCATTCAGTCATAGAAAAGAAAAGGTGTTCAGCAAACAGTTACTCTTTTCGGCGAGATCATTCTCAAGCTGTACAAATCGCAAATTTATAGTAATTTGTTTTGACAACAAAAGGAATATTTCCAAAGATGTGTTAATGCAATTGCTAATTTTTTGACAAACAAATTACGTAATTTAGAAGGCGCTAATTGGTTAGAAACTAAAATAAAGTTACAAAAGTAGGTTGGGTGACGTAATCTAAATTGATACGGTTCAATGAAAAAAATGAATGAGAGTTAAGTTAACAAGCTGAGTAGAATTCACTTAAAAATAAATGAAAATCGAGTTAGCAACAGTCGTCATGAGCGTAGAGATTTAATAGAGGGTGGGGGTAGAAAATAATGCAATTAAGATATAGACAGACAAAGAAGAAAGAGGTAAGACAAAATTACGTATTTGGTGTTAAGATAGATCAGGACCATTGTAGATTTAGTGACTGAACAAACTTCTTTTGTATGCAGAGTTCAGGATTCAATATGTGAATTGCCATTGCTTCTGCAGTTTGAAGAAGTTTAATTCGTACTCTTTTCGCAAGATTCCCACGTATTGTGTAGATAACTGAGAAGTTGTTTTGTGGGTTTGCTTGGTGTCCGGATTCGATCAAATGTTCTAGGATAGAGCTGTGGCGGGGGGATCTTCTTTCTCCTTTATAAAACCATGAAGGTAAGTGTTCGCTGATTCGTTTGGATAGCAAACGCTGGGTACGGCCGACATACCTAGCTCCACATGAGCAGGTGAATTGGTAGATGCACATTGATGAGGCCCCCAGTGGAAGCTTATCCTTCACGTTCGTGCGAATCAATGGTTTCGTAGAGAAAGTTAGTGTGAGTTCCGCTGCGAAGAAGGTTTTCTTCAGTGGACGGCACAGGCGGTTTCTCAGTATTTCTGCTGAAGAATCTCCGTTGGATAGAGCAGTTTCTTGGGAGCAGTAAACATGGGTTGTTTTTGTGTTTTGGGCTTCATAGCTTTTGTGATGAAACGTTCCGGGTAACCGTTTTCAAGGAGGATTCTTTTCAGGGTCTTCAGCTCTTCTTCTATAGTTTCCGGACTGCAAATGTTGTGGATTCTGTGAGTCAGTGAGCGGATCAGATTTCGTTTTGTATATATAGGCACCCAACTGTGAAAGCTGAAGAGTTGTCCATACCATGTCGGTTTTCTGTGAATGGATCTTTTGAGTGTCCCATCTTGTTCACGTCTTGCTAGTTGCACGTCCAGAAAAGATATTGTTGCGTTGGACTCCTTCTCTAGTGTGAACTGGATTACTGGATGGCAACTGTTGAAGAAGTCCAATATGTTCTCCAAATTTTCCTCATTATTGGCGATAATAAAAGTATCGTCGACGTATCTCTTGTAGAATCCGAAGTTATCTATTATCTTCTTTAGGTGTGTATTTTCTAGTTTTGACATAAAAATATCTGCAAGCAGCGGGCCGAGTGGTGAGCCCATAGCTATGCCATCTTTTTGTCTATATATTTCATTATTGAAAGTGAATTGGACGTTTAGAGTACATTTTAATAGGAGTTACTTCAAATAGTCAGTGGGTATACCAATGTTCATCCCCTTTGAATCAATATATTCACATATATAGCATATTGTTTCGGTTACTGGGAAGTAATTCAATATAAGTTTGTTTATTAGATGTTTCACACAGTGAAACAGTATTATTTATTGGATGACGTTTCTAGCCAAATTTATTGTTCATAGTCATATAAATTATAGTATATCAATTAAACAGGAAGTAATTGTGTACAGTTAACGATGCAGTTGACAAAATGATAAGACAGCTAAAGAAAGTGGGTGAACTAATTTCATCTTAACACACAGGATCAGGTGAACTCAGATAGGCCTAAGATACATGTTGTAGTTTTTACTGGGTCTTTCTAGTGGCTTTTTTTAATTCACTGGGCTGCCTTTATTTCCATCCAGTGTGTTAGATGAACTTTTCTCCATTCCTTATTGTTCTTATTACCTGACTTTATTTGTGGTTTGCTACATGTATTCCCACAGAGTTTTAGTCTAATAAAATGCAGAATACATCTCAGTAGATATGAGGTAAAAGTACCTTGGAGGTTTGGAAATTGCTTCCGATAGAAGAACAAAGTGTCACATAATTTGCTAGCGAATACTATTTTACTTCATGGTCCAGTAAGGAGACTAAATATATATTTCAACTTTAGCACTGAGAAGTCTTAAATGTGTTAACGTATTGACTAGAATTAAACTGATATTATTTCAAAAAATACTAGGTTCTTATGCAGATTTGGTTCGTAAGCCTCTATAGGCAAGACTAAGACCTAATATTATCATCATAATAAGTAGGTGATACACTTAGTTGAGCTTTAACTCATTCTTTTTACGACTGTACTAGTAGTTGGCAGAATTTAGCAATTTCTTTTAGCCGAAACGCACAAGAACGGCTTGAAATGTGTTTGGGAATTTAGATTGTTTTAATTAACATGGCTGATAAAGGGTTTCAAAGTACGAAACACGCATAAAATGTGATTTCTGAATAGAATGAAAGGCGTCGAAGTTTTCTAAGAAACTTTTGAACAAAACATCTGAGATTGAAAAAAACATCGAATCAATAAAAGATGGAATCACCGACTATGTATCTAGCGTGGTATGAATCGATTACTCTTGATTCATGGTGAGTTCTTACAGAGACTAGATAACCTGCCAAAAGTAAACAAATATGGTTACATTTCAACTGGCTGTAGATAAGTCAGATTTCCCAATATTATTTGAGGCTAAAACTACTGAAGTCGCTGTATAATGAATTCTTACGTTATATTCTACACGATAATTGTGAATTTGTCGAAAAGTTGAGAGGTCTAACAATGAACTGTAGACTAATCTTCCTAACCCACTAATATACGACTGCTGGGAACTATGTACTGCTTCATTTATGAATATTATTAGGTTATTAAACATCTATGTTGATAATTCTGCATCAATAAGGGGAATTATTTTAAGACATTGAATAAATGTGCATTTCTTATGTAGTATGGAATTCAACAGCGTTCTCGGTATTGTGTCGCCAACAATCTCATGACTGGCTGTTAAGAGTGGTTTTCTGAATAAAGTCTAATGGTAATCAAAACTAAAATTCGCCCTTATATCACGGGTATTTTCTAGAAAACCGTTTTTATCAAGAATTAATATGATAGTCTGAAGCTCTTCATTATGATGGTAGTGTAGACATGGTCACGCAATCAGTATGAATGTAAGAGTTTATTAGATTGTGGCTGTTTTTTTTTGTTGGCTTCTCTTTGTGTGCTTTATGTGCATTGACAATATTTTCCACGATTTGACTTCATTCAAGTGAATGACGACTACACTGACTTTGGTCTGCCTGCTAAAAGCACTAATGTGTCATTCTTGTGGACAGAGATTTTAGTCTCATCTTGTTTATTCTGAGTATTCGTCTTCCGCTCATTTCAGCTGCAAAGCTGCCCAACGACAGTGTCAAAAACCTCAGATTTTACTGTAAATAACTGTTATTTTGTGACAATGTGCATATTAAGGAGGGTTTTTTTTAGCTATGCAGCAGGATACAGATTTTGATTTCCTACACTCAGACCACAAAGAGTCAGATATGGTAGCAAGCGATAATTCCGATATTTTTCAAAGTGGTTTACGTATCAAACTGAACCTGCATTGGCTAATTTCTTCTATGTAGTTCCATTAAAAATTATGTTTATTGTTAGAAGTGTTTTTCAAAAAAAAAAATAAAAAGACTGACGAGATCGACTTTGACATTCTTTAATCCACTATGAAGCGTATATTTAAATTTATTACTGTAAATTAACTTACTCCCTCCTCGACCTTGATGTGAAATTTATAATAATTTAAAAAAAAAACTGCAGTGTAACGTATATCCATTATCTGTCATAATTGTATTATTATCCATAAAAACCGGGACGTTTTTATGGCACATAGAAACGAGTTTCCATGTACAGAATTGCATGGTAAAAAGAGGAAATTATTCGATAAAGTTACTTTATTTTGATAGCTTGTGACTAGAAGAAAAAACTACAAATCACCCAAAATGAAATGTCTTAAAACTCTTAAGCCCTCACATAGTCTTGGCCCTGATGGTATACCTGCATATGTTCTAAAACAATGTGCAGGTGCTCTATGCTCTCCTCTAACTAATATCCTAAATGCTTCTTTCTCAGAAAACGTTGTACCTGTTCCATGGAAAGACATTAAAATAGTCCCTGTCCCTAAACCTGGCAATAGCAAGAACGTAAAATTCAGACCCATTGCCATCACTTCTCCGTTTCTAAAGCTCATGGAAAAACTAGTACTTCTTAAACTCGAACCCTCCCTTAAAAGCTTCGAAGACCCCAAACAATTTGCCTACAGACAGGGTAGGAGTACTTTAGACGCTGCAGCCGTCTTACACAACAGTATTGTCTCATCATTAGACAAAGGTGCCAAATATGTCCGCTGCACGTTTCTTGACTTCACTTCTGCTTTCGACTCTGTACCTAGATGTCTCTTGCTAAATAAGCTCTCCATGACACAAACCGAGTCCTGGGTCACTAACTGGTTGCATTCCTACTTTTCAAACAGAACGCGGTACACCGTATACAAAGGCGAATCCTCCTCTGCCGTGCCCACCGAAGCTGGCTGTACTCTCCCCACTTCTCTTTTCATTCTTCCTACATGACCTACCATCTTCAAACGACATTAACTTTGTCAAATATGCTGATGACATAACTGTATCTTTACCTGTCAAATGTCAAAGTGACTGCTCTAAACTAAATGACTTCTTATCAGAAATCAGCCAGTGGTCCAAGGAAAACGGTCTCACCTTAAACCCCTCCAAATGCCAAACAGTTAATTTCACCTTTAGGCACAAATCTGACCTAAACAAACTGGTTAGCACTCACGAGATGTGCAACATAGATGGCACTGAGATTTAAACCAAGTCGGAAGTTAAATACCCAGGCGTCACTCTATCTTCTGATCTTTCCTGGTCGTCTCATATCTTGACGATTTCCAAGAAGATATTCCGTCTTACCTTCTACATCAAGAAATTAAGACATTCTGGTGTAACCCAACCCTTACTCCTACAATTTGTTAACTTCCGTATTCTGCCTATTATTCTCTATTGTTCCCCTTTAGTCTTTCCTGGGCTATTGAAGAAAGACTATACCTTATTACGTAGGATGTTAAAGGTTGTCAGCAGGGTAAGCAGTTTGCCACTTAGCCAGCTTGTTAATATTCTGGTGGACAGGCACATGGACTCATGTGAAAAATGGGCAAAAACCATTTTATCTGACTCACAACACCCTCTACATTCACAACTCTCCCCATGTATCTCTTCAGGGAAAACCAGAAGCCTATATAGGAAACTATATGCCCGCACTAGTAAGTACAAAAACTCATCCATACCCTACCTAGCTCGTGTTCTGTGCGACAAAGAAGAAGCATTAGGCGTGAAACCTTTAACTTATTAAATAGTTATTAGAACAAATGGATCTCGTCTTTCCAACTCACATCATTTACAGGTACAACGTTTTCTCTCTACTTTTTTTTCATTCTGTATTTATTTTTTGTTATGTGCTGTTTCGTTTCTCTCTTCCTTACAAACTCTACTTAAAACATTCTTGTTCGTTCTTTCACGCTCTGTATATCTCGACCATTTTGCTATCGCTTACGCCAGTAAATATGCTAGTAATATCTACTTTTCTAACACCTTCAAACACTCTGTTTAGATTTTGGCTTTGCTACCGACATGCCAGTATGTTGTTGTCAAAACTGAATGAGATAACCTTAATCTATGTAGACCTTTATTTATTGTTAATGTACTAACTGGATGCAATATTGTAGTAAAATGCTGAGAATTCCATTCTGTATCACAAGTACTGATTTGGAATAAAGCTTATCTTATCTTAAATGTTAAGGAAATTGCTTACATCTTCTTGCAATATCCAAAACTATACAGGTACATAAAATGATAAAAGAAGATTTGTTTGTAATCTCTGAGTTATAGGATATAATGGAGAAGATTGTCTTGTCCTTCTAGACAACGCCTTAGGGAGAAGCTTCAATATGAGGTAGATTTATTTGGTTTCTCCTAGAATGAGAATGATGCAGATGTCAAATAACTTTACTTCACATTAAAGTTTTTGAAGAAGTGGTTTTCTGGAGTGGCACCGACATACTCACAATTGAATTAAACAACTTAAAAGACTCAATCAAATTAAAAATTTACATATAATTTACTAATTGTATTCTCTTAGCTATAATTACGTAGTTATGTTTTAACTATTTTAGATTTTTGAAAACTTCATTTGTGAAGGTTGAATATTTCTAATATCTTTCATGAGATCAGGAGATGAATTTACCCTATTTTGTTCCTCTTTTCTAGACAATTTTCATAATTTCACCAGAAGCTAAAATGCCGTGTCCATACATCTTAAAATACTGCAAATAGGTATTTTTGGTATTGCATACTACCACTCCCTTTATTAATTAGAACAAAGAAAGGCCAGACATTTGGATAGTATAATAAGACCAAGTCGTATTTTCTGGATCCGTTTCTAAACAGAATGCAGTCATTACTAAAAATATTGCTAACCATCCCCTTTTCACAGTGACTTTGAGCTACCGATAGAAATCATGGGCAGACTAATTTCAAAAATAATGTATTTAGACTTTTTATTCAGAGTTGAAAGAGTAACTATTTGTTGTCTTAATGGAAAAAATGCGTAGAGTACATGTTTTGCTTGGAAATGAAGACTGACTAGGGACATTGAACAATATCAAACAATATAGTGAGTAGTTGAGTAAAACTATAAGACAGACAAATAATTTAATAAATTTGGAAAGTAAGTTCAACTCAGAAAGTCAAATTTAAGTACACAGATCAAATTACACATGGGAAGGAAAAAACACGATTACGGTTGCTAGGGTAGTGACAGACTGATCATGACAACTTTTCTGTATACAAAGGTAGGAAGCAATGGCTTCTGTGAAATATCCATGTGTTTCTTTTTGTACTGACTATTTGGAATACTTGACTAATTTTCACTGTATGCCTCGTGTCAACCAAGTGTCCGGCAGACTTTAGGGGCCTGCTAACAAAAGTAACCCTGAGTCATTCGTCTACTTACGTCACATCTTGAGTAAGATTGTTGATACTTTCTTTCGTCAACTCGAAGTCACTGTGAAAAAGGAATGTTCAAGTATTTCGCTACTGATTATTTGAAGATCCACAAAATGAAAACAGCCCATATTACTCTTGGAAATGCTTTTGTTTTTGAAATTTTATTTTATCAGAGTCATTGAAAGTAAACACTCACTCTTCTCTAAAAGGTGACCTTTAAATGAGAGCAATAAATGAGAAACATTGTTCACAATTATTACTTATAAATAATAACATCCATACTGTTCACACAGGAAATTGTTGATGGTGTTATTAAATTGTACGAAGACTAGATGGTGTATCCGAGCCTCCTTGAATGGTCTTACAACAAACAGAATGAAATTGCATTCTCTTAGTCACTTCACATAATAATCTTGGTGTTGAGATAAAGTGTTTTACATTTGATAACTGTTCATGGTAAATAAAACCTACTTTGGCTGACGTATGCTATTTCTAGTTTGTCTGGAAGACAGCCCGTAGAATCCACGTGTTAGATTAACTAGAAATCTAGCTTTCAGTTAAACCTGCTTGAAGTAGCTTTGTCCCTATACGAGTGTCAGATTATCACACAAAAGTTGCAATAGCTATTAAAAATTATCGATTGATGCGCAATCTGGAGTAAAGTGAATAATAGCCACCTCATTGTCCTTACCTCTTTTCACTAAATCTCTCAGTATTGTAAGCTGCTTTAATATGCATTTTAGGCTTCAGAGTCTAAAGCCTCGAGGATATTTTGAAGTAACGTAATATTCCATCTTTTCCCTTTATACATACATATATATATATGTCATCGGACACCTCATATTCTCACATGTTTTATTGTCAGAATGAATATCATTTGGAGAAGAAAGTAGTGGGCGAATAGTGTACGATTTTTGGGCTGAATGATAAGTTTTAGACAAATTATTTGCACAATGTATTGTGAAATGTCCCTCTAGTAAGATGGTAAAACGAAATTCAAAGTAAGACCAACTTGCTGCGATTTCATAGTTATGACATGATTATTCCAGTCAATATCTTTCACATTGTGCGTCGGTGGCACACTCGCTAATCACGAGTGGGCTTGGTTGACGCACACATAAAAATCGCCAAGTCAGTAGTAAGATTAGTGAAGAGGGAAGATTGGCCATGAGGCTAGCAACCCATCTCGTACAAATAAACATAGCTGCTACCGAAAGTTGAAAGCTCTAGCTCGAGACTCTATGCCCCATTGGGAATGTAAAAGAATAACAGAAAAATGTAATTTTTCACCCTCTCAAAGTCCAACAATAAGCAAAACATTGTTTGCCTTTATTTACAACCGAAACAAGAATTCTTATTAGTGTAGACAAATTTTTGAATTTAGGGCAATCAGCTTCTGTAAACCACAATCTTGTATTCGCTTATTCGCAGAGAAATAATAAGCATCACAGAACACCTAAAAATAGTATCGTCATAGAGATCTATGAAGTCACATTTGGTTCATGCACTCACGTCCTTTAACTTAACAGGAAAGATAATTTGAAACACAATGAAGAGACAAATATAAGAAAAACAATCGGTAAATCAATATGTTTTGTGTGACTTTGTGTTTTACATGAATATATAATCAGAAACAGTATGGCATTTTGTAAAATGGTCATTAATGAAATGGTGGAAAATTTGGAGTGTTTTTCATGGAGTTTGTGACATTCGCATGATCGTGAATTTCTTGTCATCACGGAGAATTTCTTCCCCCCCCCCCAAATTAGCCCACTGATGAGTATTTCGAATGATTACGATTATGACAATTACAGATATAAAGATCACAAAATCGGAAAGATTCTACTTGATCAAGTGTCACTTCGACTGAGGAAAAAAATCACAGTTTTGACGTTAGACATTTAAATCAACAAAAACGTATAACTTACGAACTTGACTTAGCCCTTAGTCGTAAGAAAGTAGATTTAATTAGAAAACAAAGGAATGAAAAAGCAATAAGATCTATGAGAAAAGTGAACATCATATTCACGTCCATTTTCACCTTTTCTGATGAGATATTAACTGATAATTTCAAACTAGTGCAGGTTTTTACTAACCTTCCATCGTTTGAAAGCTTTTCAGTTTACCCGCTGAACCTATGACCGCAACAAGAAGCAATGTTGACTGGGGGCTGATATCGTTGCAACTGATCTCCGATATCATGAAAGCAAAACTGAGTTTAACGGGAATAAAAGTTAAGAATGCAGAATGCTATGCACAGAAAAACGAAGTGAAGCATTCAAAGAAGGACTTGTTGACATGCAGTGTTTATCAGTTTGGTTATGAATGCGAAAACACTTGTAGTCGCCCTGCCTAGTCGATTCTTGAGCATATTTTTAAAACACCATTAGCAACAACAACAACAACAACAGCATAGCATGATACCTTTGAAAGCACAACAGAAGAAGAGAAGGCAAACTGTTGAAGTGAAGAGCTTTTAATATCTTGTATCAACAGCGAAAGTAATTGACAACGCTAACGTATTGATACGCTTTAAATGACCATGAGATACACCAACTACATTGGTTATTTAAAGCAGTCAATTACCAAATGGATTTCAAACTTTATCAGTAAGGCTAGGTATGCAAACTAATAATAATAATAAGAGAAACATACACACCAAAAATTATGCCTATATGTGTCACTTGTACCGGTAGCTGCCGTTAGTATAATGGTGACTGGAGGCAGTGTGTACAATCATATGAATGTACACAGTTCAAAGCAGATACAACATCTCAATCTGGTGAATATCGTTAAACAGCACACTGAAATCAAGATCAAAACGATGAAACTGTGTTGGATCGCATCACCACTTAGTGGACACAGCATTCAAGATCAAGCCAATCTCTCTCTCAAAAAAATAGTAGACAAAAAGAAAAAGCCCTACAGATTGCATTCAGTGCCCTAACATGGAAAACTATTTAGGAAAGCAGACAACATGTATTAGAAAATTCGTGTTGATGAACACGAGAACCGTTTGAGCGTGAAGTTAAAATCTTTTGTATAGAATTTTTAGGTTTACAGTGAAGACAGGACAAGAAATAGTTATCTATGCACACATGTTAGCTGACGGAGGAAAGCATGGCGATGTAGAAGAAGAACCCGTACAGGGCCGAAGAGTGAAGTCGGAAGTTGCGTACAACACAAAAAAAATGAAAGAGTGAAACAGAGTCCTATAAAACACAGAAATCGCGTTTACGATGTGTTACTCTGTCAATTAAAGCAGGAGTAGTTGCAGGTAAGTTCACAGAACATTATATCAAATAACTAAGAAGCTTTATTGATAGGGATAAGGACATCTGAACATGAAGAACTATAATTAAGAAACATGTGTAACCAAGGTGTGCTTCCGCGGTTCATTAGTAGGAAACTCGCCAACCACGCACGTGATTCGAGGTTGGACCCAAAAGTTAAAAATATCTGTAAACCTTTCAAAACCGATAGAAAACCAAGTACAGACAAGGTTGAGTGTTAGACTAGAATGTTTGTATATCCTGACCGTTCAAGTGTGATCGTCAAAATTTGAGTCAATTTACAAGGGCTCACGACGCACCCAGTAGAACTCAGCCTTCAGGTAAATTTATTTTTATAGAAGAAACGCGAATTTTGTTGTCCTGTAAACCCTCACAACATCCGATCGATAGTGTTACATCTCACTGTGTTTACCGATTAACATGTACGCTTAGTCACACGAACATGGCAAAGACCTATTAATGTTCACAGGTTAGAAATTAAAAAAAACATAATCACAAGGAGCTGCAACAACAAATATAAATACTGGATACGAAT